GAAGATGTTGGCAATTTGATCTCTGATTCCTCTGCCTTTTCTAAAACCATCTTGAACATCTGGTAGTTCACGGTTCATGTATTGCTGAAGCCTGGCCTGGAGAATTTTGAACATTACTTTGCTAGCGTGTGAGATGAGTGCAATTGTGCAGTAGTTTGAGCATTCTTTGGTAAGGCAATGTCAAAGAATGCCAGTGCCAAACGTGGGGAAGGAGGTGGATATATAAAGTCCATGAGGTAAAGAGAAAACCTACTTACTTTAATGCAAGAAGACCTTTTCCAAGACACATAATAACAATATATCAAAAGAATTATAAACCATAATCAAGTGGGATTTATCCCAGGAATGCAAGGAAGATTCAATGCCTGCAAATCAATCAGCATGCTACATCACATTAACAAGATGGAGGATTAAAAACCATATGATCATCTCAATAGATGCATAAAAAGCATTCAACAATATTCAACACCCATTTGTGATTAAAAATTTAAAAACAATAAAGTGGGTAGAGAAGGGATGTACCTAGACATAATAAAAGCCATATATGACAAGCCCACAGCTAACACCAAATTCAATGATTAAAAACCTGAAAACCACCCCCACTAAAACCAGGAACAAAACAAGGATTCCCAGATGCACCATTCTTATTCAGAAGAGGATTGGAAGTCCTAGCCAGAACAATTAGGCAAGAAAAAAAGCAACCAAATTGGAAAGGAAGAAGTAGAATTGTCAATATTTGCAGATGACAAAACCCTAAAGGCTCCACCAGAAACTATTAGAAATAACAAATACAATAAAGTTGAAGGATACAAACCCAATATACAAACGCCTGTTGCCTTTCTATACACTAAAAAAGAGCTAACAGAAAGAAAAATTAAGAAAATCCCATTTACAATCTCAACAAAAATGAAAAAATGCCTGGGGATAAATTTAAACAAGGAGGTGAAAGACCTGTGCATTGAAAACTATCATACATTATTAAATTGAAAACACAAATAAGTGGAAAAATATTCCATACTCATGGATTGGAAGAATTAACATTGTTAAAATGTCCTTATTACCTAAAGCAATCTACAGATTCAATGTAATCTCTATCAAAATTTCAACATTTTTCACAGAAAAAAAATTTCTAAAATTTATATGGAACCAGAAAACACTGAATAGCCAAAATGATCCTGATAAAAAAAGAATAAAGCTAGAGATAGTACACTCCCTGATTTCAAATTATTTGTCAAAGTTATAGTGATCTAAGCAGTATGGTATTGGCAGAAAAGCAGATACATAGAGTCATGAAACAGATTTGAGAGCCCAGAAGTAACTCACACATACATAGGCAATTAACTTATAGAAAAGAACAAAAAACATGCAATAGAGAAAAGATAGTCTATTCAGTAGTGTTCCATAAACAGTTGCATGCAAAGAAATAAAACTAGACCTTTGTCTTACACAAAAATCAACTCAAAGTAGATTAAAGGCTTGAATATAAGACCTGAAACTACAAAATTCCTAAAATAAAACATAGGCAATACATTTCTTGACAACAGTCTTAGCAACATCTTTCTATATATGTCTCTTCAGGCAAGAAAAACAAAAGCAAAAATAATTGGTATGACAAGTACTGAAAAACTTGTGCACAACAAAGGAAACTGTCAGCAAAAAGAAAAGACAACCAATTGCATGGGAGAAAATATTTGCAAATGATGTATCCAATAGAGGTTAATATCCAAAATATATAAAGAACTCATATGACTCAAACTACAACAAAACACAAACAACCCATTTAAAAATGGGCAGAAGAACTAGATAGATATTTTCCAAAAAAGATATACAAGTGACCAATAGGTACATGGAAAGATGCTCAACGTCACTAATTATTAGGAAAATGCAAATCAAAACCACAATGAGATATCACCACACTGGTCAGAATGACTATTATAGGGGTTTCTCTTGTAACTAAGTGGTAAAGAGTCTGCCTGCCAAAGCAGGAGACATGGGTTCAATCGCTGGTCCAGGAAGATCCCACATGCCTGTGGGCCACAACTACTGAGCCAAAGTTCTAGGGCCCAAGAACCACAACTACTGAGCCCACGTGCCCTAGAGCCTATGTTCTGCAACAGGAGAAGCTACCACAATGAGAGGCCCCCACACTGAAACCAAGAGTAGCCCCCAGTCTGCAACTAGAATAAAGCCCATGCAGCAACGAAGATCCAACGTAACCAAAAATAAATAAATAAAAATTATTTTTTTAAAAAAGAATATTATAAAAAAGACAAGAAATAACACATTTTGGCAAGGAAGTAGAGCAAAGGAAATCTTTGTGCACTATTGGTGGGAATTAACTTGGTACAGCCACTTTGGAAAACAGTATGGGGATTCTTCAGCAAATTAAGAATAGAACTACCATATGATTCATCCATCCTGCTTCTGGGCATATATCCAAACAATATAAAAACACTAATTTGAAAAGATGAATGAACCCTTGTGCTGTTATTTACAATAGCCAAGATAGAGCCAAGGATGGATGAAGAATAAGTGGTGTATATACACAGTAGAGGGCTTCCCAGGTGGTGCTAGTGGTAAAGAAACCTGCCTGCCTGTGCAGGAGACATAAGAGATGTGGTTCCATCCCTTGATCAGGAAGATCCCCTGGAGAAGGGAATGGCTACACACTCCAGTATTCTTGCCTGAAGAATCCCCCAGACAGGGGAGCCTGGTAGGCTACAGTCCATAGGGTTGCAAAAAGTCAGACATAACTGAAGCAACTTAGTACACACGTATGCATATACAGTGGAATACTACTAAGCCACCAAAAAATGTGAAATCTTGCTATTTGTGAGATGGACCTTGGGGATACTATACTAAGTGAAATAAGACAGAGAAAGACAAATACCCTATGATTTCACTTAATGTGTGGAACATAAAAAACTTAATAAAAGCAAAATGAAAAAACCAAACTGGACAAAAAAAATACAAATGCATAGATACAGGGAAAAGATTAGTAGCTTCCAGTTGCGGGGTAGGGGGTGGGGGAGGGCCAAATGGATAAACGGCTACAACTGTGTTAGGAAGAAAACTAAACTTTTGGTGGTGAGCATGCTGTAGTGTATAGAGAAGTAGAAACACTCTTGTACACATGAAACTTATATAATGTTTTAAATCATGTCACCTCAATCTAAAAATAATATTAGTAAATAAAAGGGGTTATTAGAAATCCTATATACAACAATAGGAAACAAAAGCACCTAGAAACAAGCTTTTTAAATGTGCTATATCTGTGAAGAAGAATAAAGTCTGCTAAGAGGCATAAATTAAGACTTGCATAAACAGTTATAATGCATACTTTAGATTGGAAAACTCAGATTGTAAATACGACCATTTTGCCCAATAAAATCTATCAATCTAACTTAATCTCAGTAAAATGCCCAGCTATATTTCAGCATTGGGGTGGGGAGTTAGAAGATTCTTAAAGTTATCTAGAAAAATTAATGCAGAGGGGGGAAAGTTAAAATATGAAAAAGGTAAAATGAGTGACCCTTTCTTATCAACTATTAAATATATTACATAATTAAAACAATTTGGTACTAGCATTAGAAAAGACTAACCAATGGAAATTCAAAAACAGATCAAACTACAGAGAAATTTGATTTAATATGATAAGAGAAACCTTTCAAATAAAATAGGAGAAAGATTATTCAATATATGGTGCTGGAAAAACTAGCTATTTTGAAAATGTATTAAAATGGTAATAAATTTTTGGTGCTGACCAAATACTAAGCACTGTTCTAAATGTTGTACACATATTAACTCATTTAATCTTCCTAAAAATCCTCTGACATTGGTAGTACTATTCTATTCATTTTACAAATGAGGAAAATAAGATTCAGAAAGGTTAAGTGAGTTTGCCAAGCTACACAGCTAGTCAGTGACAAACCCAGGATTCTATTAAGAGTTAAATATTTAAAGGCAAAAATTAATAACCATTAAAAATGCATTTCTTTTCCAAAGAAGACATACAGATGGCCAATGGCACATGAAAATATGTTCAACATCACTAATCATCAGACAAACACAGATCAAAACCACAATGAGATATATCACCTCACACCTGTCAGAATGGCTATCATCAAAATAACTGCCAAACAAATGTTGGGACAATGTGGAGAAGAGGGAACCCTTGTACACTGTTGGTGGGAATGTAAAACTGTTGCAGCCACTATAGAAGACAGTATAGTATGGAGGTTCCTCAAAAAACTGAAAAAAAGAACTACTATATGATTCAGCAGTTCTACTCCTGAGTATATATCCAAAGAAAACAAAACACTAATTTGAAAGGATACATGCACCCCAATATTCACAGCAGCATTATTTACAATTGCCAAGATATGGAAGCAACCTAAGTGTACATCAACAGATGAATGGATAAAGAAAATGTGGATTATTAGTCATACACACAATGGATTATTAGTCATAAAGAAGGATGAAAATTTGCAAAGCATGGATGAACCTGTAGGTTATTATGCTTATAAGGTGCAGTGTCAGACAGAGAAAAACAGATACTGTGTGTTATCTCTTATATGTGAAATCTAAAAGGTGAAACAAAGGAATGAATATAACAAGCTCTGAGGAAACAGATTCAAAGATACAGAGAACAAACTAATGGATATCAGTGGTGAGAGGAGGAAGGACAATATGGGGTAGGGGACTAAGAGGTACAAACTACTATGTATAAAATAAGCTACAAGGACATATTGTACAGCCCTGGGAATATAGCCAATACTTTATAGTAACTTTAGTTAGAGGATAATCTATAGAACTTTTGTATCACTGTGTTGTACACCTAAAACTAATATAATATTGTAAATCAACTAAACATCAATTTAAAAACAGAGCCACTCCATCCCCACACAGGGAAGGTAATAGGACCCTCTGTAGGGCCACACCTGCATCCTGCAATTGAGCAGCACCTTGTTGGCTGGCAGCCTCCATTGTGAGGTAGCTCTGATTTCCCCCTTACCAAAGAGAGACAAGTCCTGAGCCTGGCCCCACATCCGGGCACCAGGACCTCCAGTCCAATGGTGTCTTCTTCCTCCCAGCCACACGGTTCACTTTGCCCTAAAGCACTAAGGGCTGAACTGGAAGCAGCTGAAAGTCCAAGCAAATCCTGGTGTGTGACCAGGCAGTCACAAGGGACACTGAGGACCATCCTGAGATGAGACTCTCATAAGTCCCCAAAGCCAGGCAAGGCCTGTAATCAACATCAGCTTCCCCCTGTCACCAGCGCCCGGACCAGCTCAGGAATTGGGAGCCAGCTTCTCAGGCCTGCAGCCTCGGTTTCTCTGGAGAAAAACCCATGGGAGACTGGTTCAAGGCTGTTACAAGCCTTAACCCTCAGCCATCATCCCCCACAGACCATGTTGAAGATCTCATTACTTGCAAAGGACAACAACAGCAAGCCCAAATCCTTGGATGAAGGGGCCAAGTCACTCTCAGAAAGTAATGGTGTCACTTCAGAGAGGATCCATCTCGCAGAGGAAGCCAATGGATTGTCGTAAGTGGCCACACTGCCCTTCCCCATCTGAGGTCAGGCACTGCTGCCTTCACGGCACTGGGCCACATATAACCCCACTGAACAGGAGACACATGGATTAAAGATGAAACCTTTAGAATCTAAAAAGTTTTACCCGTGTCAAACTTTTTCACAGGTTTTGCAAAAAACATAGGTAGTCATCCCCAACGTGAACTTCTTGCTTCCAGGAACAGTTTTCTATACCAGGCTGCTCTTTCTTCAGCAGTTTCTATCTCAGTCTGGCTGCTTTCCACTCCTTCAACAACTGCTATTATTCATGTTCTCTCTCCCTTCTTCTCTGTCTCCCCACTGCCCCCTTCCTTCCTCATACAAACCCATCCAGAAGATAAAAGTTCACCTCCTAGCCCTATGTCCCTACTTTTACTGCCATAAACTCAGACACATGGCTCTTTTCCTTAGGGCTTTATTGCCAGTTAGACTATTAATTAGTAATCAGATCAGATAATATCCATGGCATAAAGAGATTGTAAATGACAATACCCAGTGTTGATAAGGATGTCAGGAAATGCCCACTTTCATGTTGTTTTGGGAAGAATTAAATTGATAGCTTTCTGGATGGCAATGCTGTAATGTATGTCTAGTCCTAACACATATTTATATAAAACATACAAGTATTTGGCATATTTTTTTTAAAGTACACACACACACACAACTGGCTGTAGTGGCTGCCCTGGCTAAGAGAATTGAGAGACTGAGCGGCAGATAGAAGAGACATTTATGTTCACTATATAAGGTTTTTTTGGTTCTTCTTTTGTTTTACCTTTTTAACTTCATACTGTGTTACTTAGAATTTTTTAAGTATAAGTAACTATGAATATCCAGGAATTTTTCCTAATGAGATAATAACACAGGTATGCATGATAATTTTATTGAAGCCAGATCTTGACTTCAGATCTGGTTGTGATATTGACACTTCAAATGCAATAAGTGACTATTTAAATAAAGTATGATAACATAAGGGTTTGGAGGGGCCTTCCAGGTGGCACTAGTGGTAAAGAATCCACCTGCCAGTACAGGAGACCCAAGAGATGCAGGTTCAATCCTTGGGTTGGGAAGATCCCCTGGAGTAGGGAATGGCAACCCACTCCAGTATTCTTGCCTGGAAAATTACATGGACAGAGGAGCCTGGCAGGTTACAGTTATCCGGAAGCCCAGAGTTATCCAGGCTTCTCAGGTGGCTCAAGTGCTAAAGAACCTGCCTGCCAATGCAAGAGACATAAGAGATGTTGAGTTCGATTCCTGGGTCAGGAAGATCCCTTGAAGGAGGAAATACCCACTCCAGTATTCTTGCCTGGGAAATCCCATAGAGGAGCCTGACAGGCTACAGTCCAGGGGGTTTCTCAAAGAGTAAGGCACAACTGAGCACCGCACAGCAGTAGCAGCAGCAGGGAGTTATCCAGGATGATAGCAGTGGTTATTAACTTTTTATTTAGAGCCCAGTGTGTGGTAGGCTTCCCTGGTGGCTCATATGGTAAAGAATCCACCCGCAATGCAGGAGACCTGGGTTCAGTCCCTGGGTTGGGAAGATCCCCTGGAGAAGGGAATGGCAGCCCACTCCAGTATTCTTGCCTGGGAAATCCCATGGACAGAGGAGTCTGTCGGGCTGCAGTCCATGGGGTCACAACTGAGCGGCTAAGCACAGCACAGCACAGTGTGGTACATACTTGGTGAGTCACCTGAACTAGCACCAGCTCTGGATCAGAGGTTGCAGAACAGATCCTGGGAACTGAGAGTAAAACGGAGAGTCCATTTCATCTGATTTTGTCCATCTTCCCACCAGAGGGTGCTGGAGAGACTGAAAGAAGCCTGAGCGCTGGGTCACGTTTTCTTCCACTAACATACCCTTTTGTTGCCCTGTGCTTCCCCTACAGGATGATGCAAACCTTGATTCATTTACTGAAATGCAACATTGGCACAGGGCTCCTGGGACTTCCTCTAGCCATGAAAAATGCCGGCTTATTGGTAAGATGCACCTGTGGGATGGGAACCACGTCTCCCCATTTAAGGGAAAGGGCTGCCAGGCTCCTACAGCCTTAGCATTGTTTATCAATGGGCAATTTGGGAGCACTCTTTGCAATGGGAAATGAACCTGTTGGCATCAATCCTCTGGAGCCAACCTGGAGCTAAATGGAACATGCCTGGAGGGGACAGGCCATATTTTCCCCAATTTTATTGAGATATAATTGACAACCACCTCTATATTAATTTAAGGTATACTGTGTATCCTGGAGGAGGGCATGCAACCCATGCCAGTATTCTTGCCAGGAAAATCCCATGGACAGAGGAGCCTGACTGGCTCTATGGTTGTCCCCACGGTCACACAGAGTCTGACACGACCGAAGTGACTTAACCACACATACTGTGTATACTGTAAAATGATTACCGCAATAAGTTTAGTTAATATCTATCTCCTCATATGATTATAGAAATAGGTATTGTTTTTCCTTGTGATGAGAACTTTTAGGATCTACTCTCTTTGCATCTTTCAGATATACCATATAGCAGTGTTTACTACAGTTGTCATGTTGTACATTACATCCCCAGTACCTATTTATCTCATATTTGGAAGTTTGTTACTTTTGACCACCTTCATCCAGTTCCCCCTCCCCACCACTATTCTTGAAGACTCACCATAACTCTCATACTAATTCAGAATCTACTTTGCCACAGTTCTCCCAACTCCCTAGGATTATATCCTTGCCATTTCATTCATTGACATCAGCAGCCTGGCACCTCCAGGCATTTCAATGTGTAACTGCTATTTCCATCCATTTGATTGTGAGAAAGTAATTTTGGCATTTCTTTTCTTTTTTTTTTCTTTGTTTTGAACACACCATGCTGCTTTCAGGATCTTAGTTCCCCAGCCAGGGATCAAACCCAGGCCCTCAGCAGAAGAAAGTAATTTTGGAAGATGAGAGTGACAAAGGCTCCACCAATCCCATGACACTTCCTGTTCCCTCCCACCTCTGTCCTCTATCTTATGCTGTTCCCATCACACTTCCGTCTTTTGGAATCCCCCTCCTCTGTAAAATTTTAAAAATCCCAATTCTTGATTTCCCTTTCTAAAGTCCTCTGAAATCCCCTTCCTCTGTCTCCTATTAAAATTCCTTCACCTTGTGTTTTTCTAGAACTTATAGCTATCTAACCTGGAATTCTTACAGCACTACAAAGATGGAACATGCTCATTTTTTTACATTCCCACCTTCCTCACTTACCTGAAATCTCTGAAGGTAGGAACTCTCTGATTCATCTTTACACCCTCCTTTACACAGTACCTACTGTAGATACTGGCATGCTGAAGGTTTCAGTTTGTTCTACAGAATTGAATAGATAGATGATTTCAATTTAGTTGAAGCAAATTTCTCCTTCTTGCCAAGCCTGTAAATGGCCCTCGTGTCTAAAAAAGGCACATTGAGACCCTGGCTTCTGACATGACTTCCAATCTGTATCAGTTCCAACAGAGATGTTTCCCCCTTTAGAATTCTCAGGGTTCTGGAACTTTTGAAGAACATTATTAGCACATGGCCCTCAACCAGGCTCTCTTTGCGGGTGCAGTCTTTGCTTTTTAAGACAACTCCTTTATCCTTTGGTTTTTGCTTCCTAAGAGTTATTAGGTGATTTCTTTATCCTCCAAGTCCCATCAGAACCTCTAATCATGATTCATTTGAGAAATACATGTTTAGCATCTATTATTCTTTTTTTTTGGTTTGTTTTGTTTTTTGTTATTTATTTATTTTTTATTAGTTGGAGGCTAATTACTTCACAATATTGTAGTGGTTTTTGTCATACATTGACATGAATCAGCCATGGATATACATGTATTCCCCATCCCGATCCCCCCTCCCACCTCCCTCTCCACCCGATCCCTCTGGGTCTTCCCAGTGCACCAGG